AGCAGTCCATTAATAATATGAACTCTCCAAAGTTTATTTTCCTGTCTAATTATTTTTTCTGGGAGCTCCTTTCACATTGTCTGTACTTTAAAAATTGTAACATAAATCTTGAGATAGGTAAAACACACAAGACTATAACTTCAAAGTTTGAAGTGACCTTTTAAAATTTGGTTTCAAAATTTATTTTAAATCTGTATTTCTCAGGGTTGTAGGATCTGAGTTTGCATACATCTTTAAAAAACTTAGCAATTTATAATATATAAATATATAATAAACAAGAGTATCTTTCAGCTTACCCTCAGTAATGATTTCAAATAATCAATAATGTTTTACAACCAATGTTTAATGCTCTTTCAAGTGATATGCCCAATCTGGATGAACTATGGCCTTGTGCTGAGCTCTCTTTGTTTTAGAATCAAATTCATTAAGCAGTTCTTGTAACTTTCCAAAAAAATGAGCAGAGTGGTAACAAACTTCCATGCTGCCTCTAGAAGTTTTCACCTAGATGATAATGTGTAACTTCCTGTCACATTTCACAGGACAATCAAGTCACATGACTGTGCTTGAGTTCAACACAGTAAAGATAAAAAGTATTCCATCTAGGAGGCATGTCAAGATAGGGATAAAGAATATTTCAATAATTATAAATCTGTAAAAGTAAGCTAGGGCTCTCTGGAAAAACATATTTATTCAAAAATTAATGTGCTAAAATTAATTCACTATAACCATATAAGACATCCTGATTCTTCATTCAAAATCTATTAACTTATTTGCTTAGTTTTTAATAATCTGGTTTCTAAGAAAGATGTGAAATCCATAATAGATAAGTGCAGGAACAAGTTCAAGAAATAAGAACCAGCAGCTTTGAGAGTAAGTACTCATCTTGGTAGAAGTGAATTGCTTCCAGATATGTATGTAAAAACATACAATGCCCTTCAAGTACTAAGGCTTAAAATGGAAATACTGTCTCTACTGTCCACATTCCACTAGTCAAAGTAAGTCAAAATGACAAGTCCAGCAACAGTAAGCATCTCTTCCTGAAGAAATGGGATGAGGATTAGAACAAATATTTACTAAAATTCATCAATTTGCAACAGTTCTTCAATTTCCCCCAAACCACTTAAATTACCTTTATCCACAAAGTAAAATAAGAAATATATTAGAGTGAGAAGAGTTTTCAGATTGGGTGAATTGAAAATATTTGATGTTTAAAGAAGTAGGTATGTTCTACTTTTTAGAAAACTGATGTCTTTTCCCAAATGATGCTGTGTATGTTAAAATCAGGGTTCCTGAATCATTAGGGAAATTGATGACACATTTTATGATTTCACATATTTTTTTGTGTGTATAAAATTTGTACAGTGTCTTTTCTACCCTGAACTAAGTATTTTTAGTTATATTTTCATAGCTCTGTATGTAATAATTTATATGTAATTTATCTTTCCATCTGTTCTTTCTGTGTTTTTTTTAAAGAGAGAGAGAGAGAGAGAGAGAGAGAGAGAGAGAGAGAGAGAGAGAGAATTTTTAATATTTATTTTTTAGTTCTCGGCAGACACAACATCTTTGTTGGTATGTGGTGCTGAGGATCGAACCCGGGCCGCACGCATGCCAGGCCAGCGCGCTACCGCTTGAGCCACATCCCCAGCCCCTTTCTGTGTTTTTGTAGACATTTTTCTTCACTGTGTTTACTGTCAGTTTCTGATTTACATATTATAATTACTCTTCCAAATGAATTTCTAATAGTTATTGTTTTTTATATTACTTAATTGTCATTCCTCTAAGCAGAATCAATAGCATTTTGGAGTTATCACTTAATTTTAGAAGTTTAAGAAAGTGGTCCAAACTTTTACAAAGAAGTGGTTAGCACCATTGCCAGCCCTGAGCATTGTGGAATCTTAGCTCTTAAGAGTACCACTCTTACTGTTACCACCAAAGTCTTTGATTAATTTGATCAATTTTGAGATAAAAATCAAGGAGAGACAAGCAAATAGCAACCAAATGAGATTTTATTGGAGTTTATGCTTGAGCATAAGGGAAATAATGCCCAGGTCAAGTGTTCCTGACTGGCTTTCCCAATGCACAAGGAGTAAAGATTATAAAGCCAAAGAAGTGGGTTCATGCAGACTGACAGTCACTTGCTGTGTATAATCTCAGGATTTTTGCACACATTTTGTCAGCTATTTGATCTGGCACCAGGGTTTTCACTTGAAGTGGTGATTTGCACACATGCATCAATTCAGTCTGAACTAGACTCTTGACTCACAAAAGATGGTCAAGACACTCACTGCTGCCACTCCAGGAAATTATATCTTAGTTGTATCCTGGCAGGAGTTGCAGGATGGCATTGAGGAAGAATCAGGAGCTCCTGGATCTGGTCATTGGTGGAAAACATTTTTTCTTTTCTTTTTTTTTTGAAAGCAGCTTTTATTCAGTGTTAGTAGGTGGGAAACCTTGGTAAGAGGGTCCTGCTCTAAATACAAGACAATTTTTCTCTAAAACAGAATTTTATGTTGAACGTGAAAAAGCTTTTTCGTGTCCATGAAATGAAATATGAGATAAAGTAATAATGCACCAAATGTCAACTATAGTCAGTTAAAATTTAAAAGTGAATTTTGGGGTCAACTAACAAGTAACATTTACCTTTCTATTTACTATTTTATGTTTCAATTTCCTCTGATGAAAAATTAACATTAATAAAGAGAGTTTTGGGGTGGCCAATGCAGAAATACTTATTTTTCCCATTTGTGCAATTAGTTGTGATTTATGAAAATGAATAAATTACTGTGATGATAATTTGTACTTTTTATGATGCTAAAATCTGGCTACAAAATAGAAGTTATTATGAATAAACTCCCTGATGAAGCCGCTGGGACATCAATTTAACAATCAAAAAGTCTTATGTGCTCTGTTAATTATCATCGTCTCTTTGTGTTCTGAGTACAACTAAAGGACTGAAAGGGCAGATAAGCACAGTTTTATGGCTAATTGAGTAGATGTATGAATCAATTAGTGGTTAATTTTTTTCTTAAGTTTTTGTCTAAAAGCACTGTAGAAAGGGCAGATCTCAAAAACTCATTCAGATCAGAACTTTTCTGAGATGAAATTTAAGAAAAATTTTGTTAGAAGTTTTAATACAATCCCATTCAACAAGTAGGTTTCTTTCAGGAAAACATAATCTTAGCTTCAAGGAGTGCAGCTTTTAGGGGAAAAAAAAAAGTCCTATATAGAATTAGAAGATTGTCATTCAAATTATTATGATGTAAAAAAATAGCATAGTAATCCATTTAAGAAAGATATTGCTAATCTGATTAATGAATGTGAATTTTTATACTGTTTTCACATGAATTTACATAAATTCATTGTTTACTTTTACAAAAGCTAAAATTTCATTATGTGCTTTGCAGAATACTAACTGTTGGCACACAATTTACAGTCACAGCAGGTCATTGTCCTCAAGATCCTTATAGGTTGAACAAATATAAAATAAGTTACCCTCATAAGGTGCCAAAGGAACACACACTAAATCCTTATTGAGAGGTTGTTGCTCATCAAATGTTTTCAAAATCTGAGAGCCCTTGAAAAAACTGATGGACAAATATTTGTTACTCTAGGAATAGCACAGGCTTTAGGCTACCCTCTTAGAGGAAGTAACATAAAAGTGATGAGTGAATAAATAACTGAGATAAAACAATGGAGTCTATTAAAATAAGTCATGTTTTTAAAAAATAAGTATTAGATGTCAATCATAAAAATTGCAATTAAATACAAAGTGCAAAAAATATAAATGTATTTTACATTCTCTATAAACCAGTTTTCTAATATTTCCTAAAATGTTTTAAAGAAGATTAATGATATAAAATATCAAAAAATTTTATATTTACAGAATTCCTCACATAAGTGAGAATTAATATCATTGCCTAAGGCTTAAATCTTACAATTTTCTTATAAATTAACCACATAGTTATATAAATAAAAATAATTCTCACAATTTACTGAATCTTTATAGTCTTGTTAAGCCAAAAAATATGATAATTTTTATTTATTTATTCATTATTAGAATAAAATTAATAATATTAATAAAAATTGCCTGGTCAATTATTATGTGCTTGACTATGCATTTTTCACTTAACTCTTCCATAATAGAGTTAAGGCGATCTTAATGTAGCACAAATAAGTAAAATGCATGCTTGTATAATTATCGTATATTTCATCAAGCTTCTATTCATATTCAGATATATATTTTATTAAGTGATCAAATGAAAATAATCAGAGCTGGAGGATGTGAATTCCAATTTGAGAGTTTGATAAGAGTAAAGCCAAAAAGTCAAAAACCACTATGATGGCTTCATCCGTTTGATGGTAATATCATCTTCAAGAACTTTATAATTTAGATGAGTAAAATTTTCTTTTATTCATTTTTATACTTTAAAGAGGTAGTTTTAGTAAATTAAGACAAAAAATTTGGTCAAACCATTATTCAGTTAAAAGATCCAAATACCATACCTTGAATGTATTTTTAATGGACCTTTCAAATATTTAGCTGGAGATTTTGGTAACATAAACATGGGGCTTCTAAAGGTGATTTTTCACATGCTAAATCTGACATAAACATTTCCTTCTATGCTACATAAATCAATTTCATGTTCTTATACTTCCTTGTGCATTATGTCATATTTTTAATTGCTAATTTCATGAGTTTTGAAGACAGAAACTGGATGTTTAGGACAGAAAAAAATTGCAAAATATGTTTTAGAGATAAATCTTTGACTAAACTCATAAAATAACATAATTATTGACATCCATAAATATAATTTTTAAAAGATATGTTATTATTTGTAATGTATCAAGATGGCAAATTAGCAGTAACTAAAAGCTAAACAAATTAAATATGCTTACTTTATAAAAAAAAGTATTCCCTATTCATATTAAAATATATTTTCTTCTTAAATGTATAGAAAAAAATTACACTTTTTCTTATGTTTTCTCTTTTCCTTTTTCAGGTGACACAAACAGCTACTATTCATGATGTTAAACAAAAGTTTCATAAAATATGTAAGTTCTATATGTAATTTAGAATATGTATTTTTTTCAAAATAGCTCTAATTTATGTATAAGAATAAGTTAAATATTGTGATAGCAAGAGTTATAGAAATCATATTTTCGCAGGGAACTAAGAGTTAATTCTTCACTGTAAATATTTCCACATTTAACACAAATTTGTGCTTTATTCTTCAGCAATATATTTTTATTTATTAGTATTATTTTATTTATTTCACCCATTTTACTTTATCATAAATTATTTCTTTTCATCATTTAAATTTATTTTATCCTAAAAGAATAAAAGTCATTAATTGACGTAAAGTATTTATATAAGCAAATATTTTATTCCATTATTTATACTGGTCAAATTTTTTCCACATAGAAATTCTTAATAGAAACATGCATATTTTATTACTTAATTTTATTTTTGTATTTGTTATTCTTTAATTTGTGTATTAGAGGTATTTTTTAAATTAATTTTTTAAAAATAAATGACAGCAGAATGCATTACAATTCTTTTTTTAAATTTTTTTATTAGTTGCTCTTGACAATACAATGATCTTGACATGTCACACATTTGATTCAAATGGGGTATGAATTCTCATTTTTCCACGTGTACAGGTTGCAGGATCACATTGGTTATATGGCTATATATATATATATATATATATATATATATATATATATACACACAGCGATACTAGTGTCTATTGTCTTATTACACATATACAGCACAATTTTTCATATCTCTGGTTGTATATAAAATATGTTTACACCAATTCATGTCTTCATGCATGTACTTTGGATAATGATGTCCATCACATTCCACCTTCCTTGCTAACCCCATGCCCACTCCTTTTCCTCCTGCCTGCCCTAACTAGAGTTGTCTATTCCTCCCATGCTTCCCCTGCCTACCCCGTTATGAATCAGCCTTCTTATATCAGAGAAAATATTCAGCATTTGTATTTTGGGGATTGGCTAACTCCACTTAGCATTATCTTCTCCAATGCCATCCATTTACCTGTGAATACCATTAATAACTATGATTACATTCTGAACAGGGTTCATTACAATTTACTTAAAATATTTATATTTGGTATACTTTTTGTAGAATTTTGTTTTTATATCTTTTTAATGAAATTTATTGTAATCATTAAACATTGTAAAAATGTCTGTAATTACTGGGAACCATGTTTTTAACTCACTTTATTTTTTGAGCACTTTTATTTTGTACAGAAAAAAAAATTAAGTGGAAAATACAGACATTTTACAACTACTGATGACCCAACACATGCCTACTTTCTCCTGTTTTAAGTATCCCCCCCCAAAAAAATGGTGTATTTACTATCATTGATTATAATTTCAATCATAATGACAAAAATCACTGGTGTTAACTTATGGTGTTTATTTCATATTAGTTTTGCTAGAGAGCACTTAAAAAAATTGGGACTTTCTTGAACAATGCTTCTTTTGTAAAAATAATCTTGAAGTTGACAATTAAATGTATTAAGCCATTTAATAATATTGAAGAGAAAAAATGACATTTCATTATTTTCTTTTAAGAAAAATATAGAATACATACGGAATACTTTCTGTAAATATAGCATTATCTCAGGAATAATGACTACTTCAGAGAAGGTAGAAGATTGTCATTAGCCTTCAAAAAAAGGCTCATATAACCAATGTAACAAAAAAATTGTAAACATTTTGGGGAACAACTCTTTAGAATTTAGAATTGAAACAATATATGGGAAACATATATGGGAAGAAATAGAATTCTTTAAAAAATTCTTACATAATTTTAAATTCTTGAGGAGGCAAGTACTGATAATTTAAAAAAGAGACAAAAATAAAAAAGAAAGAAAATAGCACAGCGTTGTAATGAGATTAAAACTAAATACCAATAGAATAGAATAGAAGAAAAATGGACAGAACCACATAAATACAGTCATCTGATACTTGACAAAGGTGCCCATATCATATATTGGAGAAAAGATACCCTTGTTATCAAATATGCTAGGAAAAGAAGATATCTATATGTTCTAGGAAAATGAAACTATATCCCTATCTTTTACCCTTCACAGAAGTCTATTCAAAGTGGATCAATGACCTACGAATTATGCCAGATATCTTTGTCAGCTACTCCTCCAATGGGGGATTATTTTCCAGAATATATAGATAACTCAAAAATCTTAATGGCAAATGTCGGAACCGCCCTCTGACAGGGGTTGGGGAGAGTCACTAGACCAGCTAGTGTCTCCGGGTGGAGCCAGAGGATAAGTGTCCAGGACCTGGCCAGCCACCCAGGCTGGCAAAAATCACACCAAGTCGGGAGTTGAGTCAGCCCATATGATGGCGCAACTGCGCTTTATTGCAGAGGGGGAGGACTTATATAGTGGGAGAAAGAAGAGAAGGGGTGGGCAAAGGCAGGAGCCAATCAGAGATATGTGGGGCCCTGTTGCTGGAGAGTTATTCTTTGTGTTTGCGGAAGCCATATCTTGGGACCGTTCAGACACGTATGTGTAAATCATTTCCTCATTTCAATTTGCCATGTACATGGAAATTCCACAAGATCAGAATCACAAGACTGTTTTTTCATACATTTGTAGCTCTGTGGTAAACATAGGCCCCAACAAGCAAAAACAAGTAACTAGATCAATAAATGGGCAAAAGAACTAAACATTTTTTTTTTAAAGAAGAATTACCTGTGGCCAACAAATATATGAAAAAAAAAATGTTCACTACCTGTAGCAATCATGGAAATGCAAATCAAAACTATACTGAGATTTCATCTCACTCAATTACAATGGCAATCATAAGGAACACAAATAATAAGGAATAGTGGAGGAAAGGTACGCTGTGACATTGTTGATAGATAGGACTACAAATTAGTACCACTTTGAAAAGCAGTATTAGAATTCCTTGACAAATGAGGAATGGAACTCTTCTTTTGACCCAGTCATCCCACTCCTTGGTTTTTACCCAAAATAAATAAAATCAGAGTATAGAGTGTTAGAGACACATGAATGTTCATGGGAGCACAATTCACAATAGTGAACTTATGAATTCAGCCCAGGTGCCTATCAACAGAAGAATGGATAAAAGAAAATGTGGCATATATACAGAATGGAATTTTACTAAGCAATAAAAAAGAATTAAATTATGGCATTTGCTGGTAAATGGATATAACTGGAGAACATCATGTTAAGTGAAGCAAACCCAAGTCAGAAACTCAAGAGTTAAATATTTTCTTCCATGTTTGGAGACCATAATAAAATATAGAAGCAAAATAAGACAATAGAAGGGAGATCCATGGAGTAGAAGAAGGGGGTAGGGGTGAAGATTGCAGAAAAAGGAGAAACTGAGGAATAACATTAACCAAATCATGCTATGTACATATATTAATTTACCACAGTGAATTTCACTCTYATGTATATTCTAAAGCACCAACTTAAAATCAATCAATAAATATAAGGAAGACCAATAGATTAGATGAAGGGGAATAGAGAAAGAAAGAAGAGAAGGAAAAGAGAAAGTCCTGGAGACTGAAATGGAACAAATTGTATTCCCTGCATGAAGGAGCATGTCAAATAAACCCTACTATTATGCACAACTATAATTAACTAACAAAATATTTTTAAAATAAAATAAAAAGACATTAAAAAATAAATTGATCTTGGATTGTAGAAATGAGAAGACATTTGAAAATGACTTCTTTTTAAACTGAAAGATCAAAAGATATAACAAAATGATTGCACTGTAAAATTATGTCAAGGTAATAAGTATATTTATTGTCTAAAAATGACATCTAAGTTTAATTACTTTTTATGGTTTAAGTATTAGGTGTCCCCCAAAAGCTCTTGTGAGACAATTTATGAGAGTTTACAGGAGAAATTTATGAAAGTTTACAGGAGAAATTTATGAAAGTTTATTAGGTTATGAGAGTTTTAAGCTAATCAGTGCATTTATCCCCTAATAGGAATTAGCTGGGTGGTTACTGTAGGCAGGTAGGGTCTGGCTGGAGGAAGAGTAATGGAGCTCTCTTACTTGGCTTTCTCATGGCCATGTCCTGAAATGCTTTTCTTGAGCCAAGAGCAATGGAAACAGCTGTCTGCAGACTAAAACCTCTGAAACTGTGAACCTGGAATAAACTTTTCCTCCTATAAAATTGTTCTTCTTAGCTATTTTGGTCACAGGGTCAAAAAGGGGGACTAAAAACATTATGTGTATAAACAATCACCTTAAAAGAAAACTATGGCTTATTTTATGATGGTATACACACATTACAGTTATGTAAAACCTTAAATACTAGACTGAGAATTTTGGTGTTTATGTGATTGGGGCCCATTTCTATTAATTAGGAAAAAAAATGAAGCCAAGCAACATTTAGAAAATCTTAGAAATATCTGAATGCATAAACTTGCTAATTAAAAATTAGCAATAACATGGTTAGTTGCAGTAGCAATAGTTAGACTTAAGGATTGGTTGACCATGATCATTTTATTTTGCAGGCATAGTTTGAGACGTTAAGACACTTATTTAAAMTCTGACCTTTATACTTTTTAAAAAATTCTCTTAACTTTGACAGTTATACAAATTTATTTAGAGGCTATAAATACTCAGGCATGGTGGTACAGATCTGTAATTCCRGCTACTGGGAGGCTGAGGCAGGAGGGCCCCAAGTCCCAAAATTAGCATATGCAAATTAAGGAGATCCTATCTTAAAAATTAAAAAATGTTGAATATTTGGCTTAGTGGTAGAACACTACTGGGTTCAATCCCCCTATACCACAAAAAAATAAATCATAAAATAAACTAGAAAAAGAGAAATAATTTTCAGCATTTTTTGCATTTATTATCCTATCTTTCAAAATCTTACTGTTCTTTAGTTGTCATAAATGAAAGAAACACAAAAGCATATTTTGCTGCACTACATTACTAAAAATTATTTAAAAATCAATTCAGTTTTATATATTATACTTAACATGCTTGCCAGCATAAAAGACATTTAA